TCATGTGAATGTGAATCAAGATATTTGGAAATATGCCCACTTCGTCTGTTTCAAACTACATGTACTTCTCTTCTGCCTGTCTCTTGATTTTTTTTATTTTTTTTATTTTACAGAGTCAATCAAAAGAAATTACCTATAATTGTAATGGGTGTTTGGCGATTAAACATTCTACAAATAAAAAGATATTGCAGTGAAATTCCCTTCAAGTAGACTTGTGTTGCAAAAAAACCCCCACCTCTTTCATCCACACAAAGCCCCTGTCCAGATACAATGCAAAGAAGAATTCTCCTGAAGTGGTTAAACCAGATCTACTATCCAGATTTTCTTAAAATGTAGGTGTTTTACGTCGACATCGACTCAATTTAGATCATGTAGGAGGCAGGCTTCCGAATCTGCCTGTCATCGAAAACCCAGGCTGAGATGGATCACCATCTCAGCAGAAAGATCGAGATGCTCGGTAAAAAAAATTTCCCTATTCGGGAATGGAACTCGGTTTTTCTGCGTGCGACAGCGAAGCGCACCGCAGATGCCTGTAACCTACATAATATCATCTAAAAATCCGACAACGGATGTTTGAACTATGTGAAGCTATTTAGATTCCTTTCCTATCGTTTTGCTGTCAGGCTGGAAGGAGACTCGTGGATGGATGTTGAGCTTCAGCATTGCAAGCCCGACAACGTCTCAAATCGCTGTAACTTCCACTTGCAGCAAAAAGTCAATTCTGGAATAAGGAATGATACAAAAGCACCCAACAACAGTCCTCTAGTTCTCTACAAACCAGTGTACAGGTATCTTACTAGTTTGTGTATTCAGGAGACATAGAACATGAAGACCTTGTATGTGAAATTTTGATAGTTGTTTTCTTATAATTTTCTTCCTTTTATTTGAGAGGAGCATGTTTATATCGAAAGTCTATTTTAAAAGTGAATTTTTGGTCTTATGGGTGTTATAGTAAGATAAACTGTTTGAAACTTCTCAACTGTTTTGCCCTTTATTGGCACCTTTCAAAAAACCCAAAATTAATCTTGAATTTCTTTTTGCGAAATTCAATTGTATTACTAAACCTGAATGCTTGTGAGACCTTAATTGGATTGAACATATTAGGTAACACTTTGTCAATCAAATGATCAATCTTGCTTTTGCCTTGTTCTGAAAAGAGTGAAACCGAATTAACATATTTGGCAACAATTTTTTAAATGATCAATCTTGCCTTTGCCATGTTTTGAAAAGAGTGAAACTGAACGAGGAAACGCAGATTCCGATCACAGCAACAGACAAAGATGGGGACAAGACAGAATGCCGCTCGGCACGCTGGGTCGAACTCGGAGATCTTAGCCTGATGCACAACACAATTGTTACCCCTGAGGTGAGTCACACGGTACAATTATAGCCTACGTGTGCTGTGAACGAATTTTGAAATTAACCATCATTGAATTATTGACAACAGCCATGACATATTTTTTGAAAATGTTGGCTTATGTTATACACTACCCAAGTTTATCCTTATTGATTATTTTTAATGTGCTATGTTAGTTGGAATAGTTTGTCTAGTCAGTAAATCATCATTTGTCAATCTTTAGCTTTAACTGTCTTCAGTGCAGCTTTACTTCAAAAATTTTTTCGCTCATATTGTGATTCATATGGACAGAGGACAAATATATCAATGCACCGTGATGACGGTTGTGAGAAAGTGGGCTCTGATCAATTAGTTTTACTATTTTATTGTTATGTTGTATGTCTAATGAGCTCACTATATCTATATAAAATTTAATAAATACATTCTAACGCATCCCTCCCTCTTCTCTTTATAAAGTGTCTAGTTATTATACGACCATATGAGTCAGACAACTTCCATGACGGAAACTGGGGTATCGTGAATCTAATTGTGGACGAGCTACCACCGCACGCAGTCAGCTTAGGTGTCATGAATGTGAGACCTTTGACAAGCATTGGTGTCACCCAAGTACAGGTACGTCCGTACAGAAGCACATGGACACTGTCTGTGCCTTACTATGCAATTTGGGGAAAGTCATGGCGATATAAATGTCTGTAGGAGAGTAAGAGGGAACGAAAGCGTGCGTGAGAGAAGAAGAAGAAGAAGAAGAAGAAGAAGAAGAAGAAGAAGAAGAAGAAGAAGAGGAAGAAGAAGAAGAAGAAGAAGAAGAAGAAGAGAGGAGGAGGAAGAGGAGGCCATGCACACTTTGGGGTCTTTACCACAAGACATAGTACCTTAACCTGGTGTAATGATGAGCAATATTTCTTACATGTAAAAGAAAAGACATGCTTTTCATCATTTAGTGGCATTTATTGTGACAATGTTGTAATTTTTCTATGGGCCCTACATGCACAAAATAGTACTAGTATAGTCTGGGATTGGTTAGCGGGATTAAGAGGTATGTGGAGCCGATGAAACTTTTCTTCTTGCTTTGGAGTTTCTGCCTAGGATTGTTACTTCTGCTTTATGGCTTTCTATCGCTATTTGTTAGTTGATTACAGTAACTTGTGTACGTTTCCAGTTCCTGGTCCAGACAGTTGCCAATCTGACTATTCCTGAATTCGTGAGCCCAACCCCGTGTGTGACAACCGGAGGCATGCGTGTTGCAACCTTCTATGTTTATCCCGGGTCCACTCTGCACATACCCTTGCACGCACGACCATCTCTAGATAGCTTATCTTATGTGTAAGAAATAGTTAATGTATGTCATTGTGGTGAAATCAGGGGCTCATCAAAAAAAAATTTTTAAATAGAAGAAACTGTTGTTGTTTTTTGGCCGTTAAGTAAACTTTGTAGTTTTTTTTTTCAGGGGACACAGCATTTAAGTCCATTTAAACCACATAATATCTGTGTGGGTTTTACTGGAAAATCTTTGATAACAGACACCAAAATATATAGCCTATACTTTCAGTTTCCAAGGATACTGAAGCTTGGGAAGTCATCAAACTTGGGCGGCGGACATTTTCAGGCTAATTTTCCCTCTGACACTGCGCAACCTGCGCCCTCTTCTATTGCAAATAGTCCGACTTTTATTCAAGATAGATGAGTATTTTTCATTAAAAAAACAAGAGAAAAAAACCCCAACCTTTAAGGTGATACCGATAACTCCATACGCCCAAAAATTGACGAGTGCCTGATTCCACCGAGTAGGGGCTTTTAATGTTTTTCTTATTTTCTTATTGTCCTTTATTTACTTTCTTGGTGAGACTACCAGGCTAAAATGAGTTGGACATGTTAAACGTATAAGGCCTATCTGTTTCTGAAAATATATTCGATTCACCACAAAGTTGTTCTTTAGATATTAGAAAGTGAGAAAGCAAATACATGAAGACAATACACAGGCAAAAATGTATTGCCATATTGGTCCCCGAACTTACGAATAAGGTACTTTCGGAGCTGTGTTATCAGTGATGTAGAAAATAAAACAACAAACAAACAAACAGGCGAAAAAACAAACAAATAGATGGGGTGGGAATGTGCTTCAACAGTATCTTTCAAACTCAATAGTGAGACTGGATAATCTATTTTATTTCTGATTTGTTTGTTGTTTGTCAGAAATGTAGAAAGTTTCCGGCTGACAACGCTTCCTGATCACAGCCAAGTGATCAAAGTAGGTGCCCTCAAGCCTAAAAGTGGCGTAAATCCACAAAGAGAGCAGCAATCGGAAATCACATGGCACGTAGATGTCCAGGACAAGGGCCATTATCTACTGCAGACTTTGGCGATTGATACAGATGGGTGAGCATGCATCGTGCTTCTTTTTTTTGTTTGTTTCTAAATGTGAATCGGAAAGATTTAAATTAAGGACTTATTTTCGAGAGCAATCCCTCTCGTATTGTATTGTTTTCAGCGAGGATACAGTCAAACCCATAATATACTATGCAACAAAGAAACTTTGGGGTCGGTCTACTTGACAGTCTACCCCGATGTTTCTGTTCTACTTGACGGTCAACCACAGGACCATCCTGGCAACAACTTGCCGGTCTAAATCGAATTTTCTGTTTTACTCTTCGTTTTATACCACTGAACCAGTCAACTATTCCAATTGACGGTCTATCAGTTTATATATACAGGCTAGGGATTCTTTTTTCGTTTTATGTCCCTTGGTGGACCTAAAGTGTTATGTGAGTGTGTGTGCGTGTATGTGCGTGGAAGGGGGGTGTAATTGTTGGGCCCCAGACAGGTTTGATGCCTTTTGAATTGTCAAAAAAGGCCTTTGGAGGGTCTTTCAGGCTCCATCCATCGATCGTTTTTTTTTTCTTGCTCTTCCCTTCACCTTAAACGCATCGAATCCCATATATTTCGTAGGCCTCTGAGGTTGGCTGTTGTGGCCACACTCTCACAACGTAACCAAAGCATCTGATTTTTTTAAATTTCTGAATGTATTTCACACTCAATTCAACGCCCAATTGTCATTGGGGCTTTAAAAGGATTGTAATGTTTTAATTACTAACTTATTCTCTCCCCGTATCGTCAGGTACATAAGACAGAGGGCAAGCGACGCAGTGGGCGCCACGCTTGTCTGTCCTTAGCCACTTCTTCCAATTATAAATACTGACACATTTAAGCCCTGGATAATTGCCTCATCCCTAATATTGTGCATTTGTAGCTTCCAGTTGGTCTACTTGATCTTCACCGGCGTCGGTGATGTAGCGGTTAGGCGCTTTACTGTTGCACGAAGGAGACCCCAGTTCGATTCCCGAGTGCGGAGAAATCTGTAAATATCGAGTATCTCAGTTATACTGAACCTCGTGAAAATTTTGGTCTAATAAGGCTGATAGTGTTGATGTTAAGATTAGAAACAATGAGCTCTTTCGAGAATAAGAAAAAGAATCAAATTGTTTTTTCTAAATCTTTTACCTTTGCTCACATTTCTTTAGGATCTTTTTTTTTAAATCTGTGACTTGCGTCCAGTGGCAGGAAATGACTAATTGCTATTATTTTTTTTATCCAACTTGAAATTCTTGAGGAGCATAACTGACAGATTAAAAAGTATATATTGTAACGTTATAATATCAGTTCCATGAGTTTATGCATTCGGCTTTTTTTTCTTTGACAGATATGACAGTGTTGACTGCAGTTTCGATGTAGAGATTCTAGGTGAGCCAGCTCCTCTTAAATTTGGTCTGAAAATGTTATTAATAAAGAGTCTTCCTTGTAACAGCCTGAAGTTTAATAAAGCAGGCTGGCAAACTATTTGTTTGGGACCCTTGACCCCTGAATGTTGTGATGTCCTTTAGCCTACTCTTCACTATCTTGCGTTCCAAAATTTTGATTGGCCCTCTCAAAGAGCATGTTACCTAAATAGATGCAGTCTAAGCTCTTGGTTATAGTAATCGTAGCACCCTGATGATTTTGATGCTGTAGAGAGGCTGGAATAGCCTCGGGTATCATGAAATGCATCGTATATTTTTTTTGTCACGTTTTCAAAACATACTATAATGTGACTGCTTTTTGTACAAATTATTTCCTGCTAAGGAAAATTAAATGAACGAATTAGGGATTTTATTTACAGATTTTCTTATGTGGGTCTAGTAAAAAATACTTAATAAAATGCTGCAAACAAGGGAATTACATGTGGGAACTGGGCAACAGTAAAAATACAACCCAAAAGAAACAGGGAGATGAATACATGAAACGAATATCTTTGCCTCTTATTTCTTTGTTTCATTTTCTCGTTACAGCTGTAAATTACACACAGTTGCCCGATGACTCCGTAAGTAAAATAAATTCATGTGTTATGCAAATCCCGATTGTCAATAGAATAACTACTTTTCCTCTTTTAGAATCAAAGCCCATAGATTCTAGTCTAACTGTTGAAGCTATTAGGGTAAGATAAGATATATCTGTATTGTCCAGATCCTGGCACATTGGTTTGGTGTTTCACGACGTACGCACGCGCACACACACACACACACACACACACACACACACACACACACACACACACACACACACACACACACACACGCACACACACGTGCCGCGCGCACACTCACGCCTTTGCTGCTACTGCTGCCGCTGTTGTTGTTGCTGCTGTTTCTAATAATGCTAATGCTGATTTTTTTGCTGCCCCTTTGCCTCTACTTTCTCCTTCTGTGGTTTCCTCTCACTCACACCCCAGCGGGTATTACCACAGCCTGCGTTGTCTTTTCGCCGATCAAAGTATAGGGTTCTTTATTCATGTGCTATACCAATCGCGATTGTCAACAGAATAACTGCTTTTCCTCTTTTAAAATAAGAGCACATAACTGGTGATGCTATTGCTGCAACTGTTGTGCTGCTTCTGATGTTGGTAACTCTGATGCCCATTTGCCTCTACTTTGTGCATCTATGTTCTCTCTTTACCTCATTCTCCAGCGGGTATTACTAAAGCCTACATTATCATTTCACCCATCAAAGTACAGGGTCCTTTATTACCCAGCCAATATCATAATATGTCTTAAATATGTACAACCTGCAGTTAGAAAGTGAGTTAACAAGTCTTATTCAAAGTAGCTTATTGGCACTGCATGGTCACTCAGACTTAAAGTCGGACTAGAATTTACATTTGAGATGAGACAAAAACACAATACCATTTGCCCGGAATCCCAGCTATGTTGTTAAAGTTATTATTGTTTTTCTGCCTTTTTTATTTTATTGTATTTATTGTTTTTGCATTATTGACTATATCAGTTGCATACTTAAATCTAACCATGATGATTGTTTTTTTGTTGCTGTTTATTTTTTCTCTGTGTAGGGGGGTCCTTACTTCCCGTTCTTCCCTGACCCTGATTCAGTTGTATGTCTGAAAGAGGCTCAATGTACAATTCCGATATTTGCAAAGACCAATTCTACTGGGTAAGTTATTTTCTGCCACTCTGGGGTGTTTGCCTATTTCGACTACCGTGCAACGGAAAGATCTGCTTTTCATTTGGTCGTATATGTTGTCTTGCTCAATATGACTGCTGGTGTCATCGGTTCTTCGACCCTCCGTGGTCGTTGGAAGAATGTGTATGTTCATGAGAGAGAGAGAGAGAGAGAGAGAGAGAGAGAGAGAGAGAGAGAGAA